GGTTAATGAAAGCCATGAACATTATGTGCTGTTAGAGCTTTAAAAATTTCTTTAAGAAATGAGTATTGTCATTTGGCAAATAACTGTCGCGTGCCAAAAGCTGCTCTTTTGTCTGAGCCTTATGTAACATTGCAGTTAATAACATTTAGTGTTATTGGATGGTAAATTACTTCAGTATCTCAACTATAAAAGCCTGTTTACAAAGATGAGGCGGTCTTGTTGGAGTGCCAGACTGTTAAATAACTCCAGGTTGCCAAAGCTAAATGAACTTTTCAGCTGGTAATGATGTACAAATTACTATCGTAGATGCATATTTATTGGAGAAATGCTCACAAACACTAGTTGTTTCTAGTTACAAACGTTTCTTTTCCTTTGTCCTTAAACTGTCAGTGATACCATTAAAATGAATATATTTATAGATATAGACACAGCTATTTTCTGTTATTAATAGCTAAATAGCTACTAAATAGCTATTTGATTAATTTATTGAATAGCTATTCAAGCTATTTTTAAGCTATTAGCTATTACGTTAAATAGCTATTTAAGCTATTTTGTACACCACTGGGTGGAATGCAGCTCTGCCTGAGAAGAGCAGCTGTGGCTGTGCCTTCCCCCCGCTCCCCGGTGTTCCGGTGTCGGTGTGCGTGGCACTGCCGTGCAGGGTGAGGACGGGCTGGGACAGAGCACCCTGTTCTGTGACCCGTGGTGGGCCTGCTGCATATATACTATATACTTCCAAGAAGGCGTGCAAACAAAGGTCTGTTTTTTAGCCATTTTGTCTTTTTAATGGCCACCTTGTAAACTACTGGTTGAAAATTGGGAGACATTGGAATTAAACTCTGACACATAAACAGTATGATTTTTTTTTTCCACTGATTTTCCTCCTCTTGACAAATAGTTTTCTGTAATGTGGCAGTTATGAGGTGTTACCTTTGGGTGAAGAGGTTTCGTGGTAAATATTAAATGAGAAGATGGTTCCTTAAAACACATCGAGGAAGGTGACGGGCGCTGGCCCGAAGCTCGCTGCGCGCGTTACCCGACAAGCTGTAGCTGCACTTTTCTCTCTGAGCTCAGCTGGAGCCCGAGAGGAAGCACTGGGTTTCCTGTGCAAGGCTTGCTCCCTTGCCCTGGAGTGTCTCGCTTTGAATTTCTTAGCCTGGTTGGGAATTCAGTACAAAGAGCCATTCTTGTGAATCATGTTTTCTTTACAATTTTGCATTCCAGCTCAGCAATTCATTCTTCCTTTTTCTAATGGCAAGACCATTACTGGAGTTCACATAACTTCAGCAAAGTGGTAGGTTCATGTTCTTCTGTGGGGCTTGAATGCTCCAGTTCCACTCCGTTGTGGGTTAGTCTAAAAATAACACACAACACAGATATATATACCAAGTAGTGAGATGTTCTGTCAATCAGTTAATATCCCTGAATTTAAAATACTTAATGTTGTGAAAGACTTTTTCAATATCCAAATTTGCAAGTAACCATGTGGCTTCAGAATATTCATCTTACTATCTCTTACATTATTACCATATTCTCTTCTCAGCATTATTTGTATGATCTCAAATGGAAACAGCATTTTGGAAATACTGTTTTGAAAGTCCAAATGTGCTGTTGAGTGTTTTGGATGCACTGAGTCTGTGTGTGTGTGTGTGTGTTTTAGGTGGGGTGCGTAGCAGTATATACGCAGGATGGTCAAACTTTTCCAAAACGGACTGAGTTACTGTTTCTGACTGAATTTCCCTGAAAACCTGAAGCACTTTTGGTGCTTGCACGTGTGTGAAAGAGACAGTTCAGCTGTTACAGCAGATGATGAGCAACCTCTTTGCAGTGCTCCATTTCCTTGCAGCATAGCTGTGCTGTGTCAACTTCACCCCTATTCCCCGTCCCCAAGCTCCAGTGCAGAAAATGCCTTGTAACTGGTGGATCACTGGTGCTGGGGTGGGGGCACGGCAGAGCCTGGGCTTGGCACCCAGTGTGGACACCAGATACCAGCAGCCAGGCTGTACGCCGGGTACCGGCCTGCCGTGCATGTTAAAGCTTCTTTGAAATTACCACTTGCTTACATCCAGGCCGCAGGGCCGCAGCACTCCGCTGTGCTGCTGTGGCACTTTGCTGTGCCGGGTCCCAATTCGGGACCCTGCTGGGGCACGTGGTGGCACCCGCCTGGCCCTGGGCCCGGTGTGCTGGAGAAGGGTGCAGGGTCTGTGTCCTCAGCTTCAGGGCAGGGTGCTGCTGAGGGGTGCGCCCAGGCACTGGGGCGCGCTCCCAGCTGCCGTGCCACACCGCATCAAAGGTCTGCGCAGGCTTCTGGCGAGCGTTCCTCTGCCTCTTCTCCACATTAGTACAGACGCCCTCCCCCGGAACTCACCCTGTTTACAGGCCAAAGTTGTGCTTCTTAAAACTTTTTTCCAAATGATCCTCCTTTGTAGAACATGTAGTTAAAAAATGTCGGATGTGATGGATGGGAGAGTGCTTGGGTAAAGGTATATACCAGATATTTAGTAATAGTTCTGTTGAGTCAGGCCATCTGAAAATTGTCGGTCTTTAAAAGTAAACAGTTTTACATATATCCCATCAACTATTTTGAAATTTAAAGTGATTTCTTTTCCTGAATTTAATTTTTGATCATTTAGGACTATTCACAGCTACAAAAAGCTTTTACTTAAAATGCTGTTATTACAGTTTCAAGTTTTTACGGCCAGCACTCCAGAAAATGTAACTTTTGTTTAGTATTGTAGGACAAAACTTTTCTAATTTTGTTGTAAGGTTAACCTGCTGTTGGAGAGAAAGGACAATAGAAAGAATATAGCTAAATTTTCAAGTTGCAAAACCACAATCAGTATGTGTAATTTAGAAGCTGTTGCAAACACTTGGGAGCATTTTCTGTAGCATTTGAAAATTCCCTGTAGAAGTGAGACAGGAGACATGCATTTAGCATTTCAAGCTTGAAAAATATTTTAACCTTTCCTTAAATTGTGTTTTGAAGTTTAGGATTAACTCGGAGCCTGGCTGCACAGATGGCTACATTTTACATACTCCTTTGTCTAGGAATAAAAAGAGACCACACGGTCAGTTAATGGGTTTAAACACTCTTAGCCTTTATTTTACATCTTAATGGGACCTCAGAGATTCCCCGGAAGATACTCAGAAAATTGTTGTTTATGGTGTAAGACTTGTAAGATGTGTTGTATTCTGTGTCCTGGAACCCATGATCTGGTGTTGCTCCTACTTATTAATCCTGGTTAATGAATTTTACAGCTTCATCCCATAAGATTTAACACTTGTAATTGTGGTATGTAAAAATAAAAACTAAGATCACAGATGTATAGAAAATGTTACTTTATTACTGGAATGTGCAGGCTGTTATTTTTAAATCTTTTAATAGCCAAAATTATAGATGAAGTGGGTTTTTAAGGAGAAGCAGACTCCATATCCAAGTCACTGAAGTGGTTATAAAGTTAAATAAGCTTTTTAGTCTTCCATCATACAACAGAATGCTTTCTAAGCTTTTCCCCTAGACCCTTCTGGGAAACACCCTAGTGAACTGTGGACTATACAAATCAAATGTGGGATAAATGATGGAAAATCCATTAAGTCAGTGGTGTGTCACCAGAGCAGATACTTCTAGCACATAAAACCAAACCTTAAATCGGATATTTTGTGCTTTGTAATGATTTTTTTTTCAAGTAGGTTTTAAAATAATACCAGCTAAAGGATAGGTAGTTTAACATAGTTTGTGTAAATCTGCATGTGGCACATCAAAGAACTCTTGATAAAACCACTGAGAGCTGCACAGTATTGAGCACTTGTAAGTAATCTGTCAAGTTTGTAAAAGATTATCACCATAATATAGGCACATGACTTTTTTTTTTTTTCCCTCCATTTGAAAGTACTAGTAAGGTTTTAAAGGCTACTACTGTTTTATCACTTACAGAGGAAGACTTTCCAGAAGTCTTTGAAGCTCTTGCCCCTTTAAATCAACATGTGCAAACAAATCCATCTGGTCAAAGTTGTTCTTGAAGATGGTTGTAACTGGTTAAAGACTTTATGGCTTTATTCCAGTTCCTGCTGCAAAAAGATTTCCATTGCAAATGCTGCAGTCACAGAGGTCATTCATGCTACTATAGGATGGAAATTCCATGATGTTCCTGTAATTTTGTTGGAGTCTTGCAGGCCAGCATGGGGTATAGGGGTGAGGTGGTTTGAGATGCTGCACGTCACTGTGTTTAGGTCTCCAAATTTAAGTGCTATCAGCTGGGTATTTCTGACAGATACTTCATTCACTCCTATTAAATTAAACTAAGAGCATCCACAGATGCTGCTTCTATATTTTGGGGGTGTTTGTGTATATATGTATGAGAACACACACCCTGCCTTCTAGTCAGCTGAATCTTCCTCCCCATATGTATTAATGGAGGAAAAGGTTAAATTTCCTCTAGATTTTTGAGGGTGTTTTGTTGATTTTTTTTTTGCTTCCTATGAACTTCTTAGAAAGGCAAAGGGAGTGCTGCAGGAAAAGCAGTGTTTGCCGAGAAGTCTGGTTACCCTTCAATACCGTTTCCAGTTCCTCAAGACACAAAAGGAACTGGTATGTAAAGGTCAGAAGTTGCCGGTGTAGTTCACGTTAACACGACATGATGAATGTTGTGTTATAAACAGAGTAGAAGGTCTTTGTCTTGTTAGAAAGCTGGAAAAGTAGTAACTTCTTATGCTGCAATTTGGTAAACCCAAAGAGTGTTTTTGGATTATTATTTTAAGCCTTACAGATAAGGAAGCTCAGTCTGAAACTTTGCAGTCACTTAGTAGGGGTGAAACGCATAGGATGCTGCCTCGGCTTCTATTGATTATCTTAATTGCTTCATGGTTGTTAGGTTTTTCACAATACCATTACCATCTTTATGATTGTTTAATACAATACAGAATCTGTGTTAATAAATAAAACATTGTGTGTAAATGGAAATGCTGAAAAATTAACTATTTTCTTTCTTCTATTTTTTCAGCGGAACCCCTGCCTTTAATGGACTTGTGCCGAAGATCAATTCGTTTTGCTCTTGGCAGAGACCGCCTGCATGACATAGAAATTCTACCTTTGCCTCTGTCTCTGAAAAATTATTTACAGTACCAATAAGACATCTAGAACCCTCTGGCCTCACATTGGACTACATCAATGCAAATGGCAGAAAATTGTTTACAGCAAAATATAAATCTTCGTGATGGACACTTAAGTGTTATTTAATTTTTAATATATATTTTTTTCTGAACTAGTGAAAGCAGATCACTGTGGGGGACTACTAAAGAATGTGAAAACATTGATTTGATCAAGATTTGTGTATTATCTGTTGCCTGTTGTGTTTACAGTCCTGAAGGCCATTATTCTTCTCTCTCATGTATTGGTTTATCTTTGTTGCCTCTGGTAAATGCCAATAGAAAATCTGACCTGCAAGATCCACTGTCATGCAATAATGTGATTTTTTTTTTTTTTTTTTTTCCCTTTCTCTCTCCGACAGCTCACCCCAATAGATAGAAACAAATTAGCAAAGGAAAAATCTTGAGAGTAACTTTAGAAAAATATTGAAACTTTGCCTTTGGTATCCAGAGTTGTTGAGAGCTTTGAATGTTCAGTGCTCAATGTTATCAGGCCTATAACATCTAAATGTTCTACCATTTAAAAAAGCAGATTATTGTCTAGAAGAAGAGTATGTGATTTAAAAACATGAGAGGAAAAAAACCTGGTATAGGTGTCAGATCAATTTTTGGACGTGGTAGCAGTAAGATGCAGTCCATTGTTTTCAAGACCAAATCTAGTCCCTCTGAAGTTCTGCAGTTTATAACAAAGTGTTCACTATCCCAAGAATTTAGGATATTCGTATTTTAGGAAGCTTGTCACTTTTTTATTTGAACAAATTTATAATTTTTATGTGGTATGAACTCTTAAGTACTTGGTTCTCTTTTTAATGTATGTGTGGTTATAATGTTTATTTATCTGTTTAGAGTCTGTGGAGTTCTCATTTAACTGTTTCCCATCTTGGGGTGACTGATTTTGTTTTCTTCCCCAGCTCCACCTGAAATGTATCAATTTTTCAGTCTCAACCCATTTTTAAGATGCTGCTTTCTATTTGCATTTCTTACATGTTTCAAGTTATCTGCCTGATCAGTTATATAGTTTTTAAACTGGAAGTTGTTGTTGTGGCAGGATGTCAAATGTTTAGACTGAGCTGCCTTCAGCATATTTTAATGTGAATTTACTGATGAATGAGGAGAAAATTTCTAATAAAGTCTACTGTCCAAAATAAAACTCATGCCTCCTTTGATGAAGTGCTAAATAACATAGCACTGCATACAGAGCTGAAGTTCAGTTCCTTCTGCAGCTTTGCAAATTTTATGTTCAGCACTTCTTTGCTGCTTTGGCTTGACATGCACGAGACATCACAAGCAATGTCATGTCTTGTTCTTGATTTATGCCACTCACTCTGAATGTAGCTGTACTCTTGCTTTTTACACAACTCTCGCCAGAGTCCTCTAAACAGAACCTCAGTTTTGTGTGAAGCTGTGCTCTGAGACTCTCTGCTTTTGAGGTAGGTTGAGGTTTGATCACTGTGCACTGATGGTACAGGCAAAACCACTGAACCGCAGATGGTTGCCCTTCTCTCAGTCACCCCAAGGAACAAAATTACAGTTTCAGTCAGAAAAAAGAAACATGAGATAATCAAGGTACGACAACGTGAGCAAGAGCAAAAGCAACAAGGGCAAAGTAACACAGGGATGTCAAAAAGAAATAACGATTATTTGGTTTGATCTTAACTGTGTAAGCTGATGCTTGCTTCAGCATCAACTTACTTTCGGACTTGGTTTCACTTAAGGCAAGAGGTACCTACTGTATTCCTTATCTTACTCTTGTAAAGAGGAAGAAATTACAGCTGTGATCTATATTTCTTACTTTTCCCACTTGCTTTGTTTAATTTAAAACTTTTGTCTCAATAGGTATGTAAGAAGGAGGAGTTATAAAGATGTAATTACTTACTCAAAAGGAAAAATACAGCTGTGTCAGGTGATCTTTCATAAGCAAGGTAAGCAGCTGCTCAGGAGTGGCATAGTAATCCTGGTAGACCTCATTTTTCCACCACTGAAGTCCATTTTAGGTAAGCATTTCCTAAAATTAGCGTTTATTGTGTGTAACTAGACTTCATGTTCCTTTGAATAACTGCAGTGACACAACTGTGTTGTCTTCTCGGTTCTTTCACTTGACCCAGGCTGACAGCTCTTTAATGTGACAGTAAAGTGGGAACTGACATCATGAGACAAATTAATGGTGCTTCTGTATCTTAACTAACCTAATTATTTTACATTTGGATTGGATATTCACTTGGTGCCCTTTCCGTGATGATTCCTCTAAACTAAACGTCCTTATTTTAACATTCAAACATTTTTTCTGACACCTGGCTGTCTTCCAAGAGTGCTAGTTTCACTGGAATGATGGTTTTATTCTTTTACTGTTCCCTAATTGTGTGTTGTGATGCTGTGGATGGTAGATACACCCCTTCATGTGGGATTAGGCCCCTGTTTTCAGGGGTCAAAGTCTTTTTGATACAGTTTTCTTGGTCCACAGAAGTCTTGTAAGGAGGATGTACAGTGGAGAATATTAATGATACTGCAGTGTTCTTGCTAACCGTCCCTTTGCAAATGGGTTCTCTGCCAAGGGTGCTTATAGTGGAACCTGAGTGCCCATCTGTATTGCTCAGAATGAGTCAAGCACTGAGGCTAAGCAAATAGTCAGAGTACTTCCTCACAAAATGTACCAAAAAAAGAGTCTCTTTGCCACTGCTGAACTCCAGCCCGGGTGGTACGTTCCTCGCATTGATTCTCAAGACTCACTTTACCAGAATTCAAACATTGTTTACTGTCTGCTTCAGGAGACATTTATAAAGTGGTGATGCATTGGCTTTTGCCCAAAGCAGAGGTCAAGCACTAAGTTACAATCATTCTTCAACCAATGCAGTTGAAACTTAGTCTCTCAATCTCGGAAGCCTAAACACAGTGAGGTATCTACCCAGAAGTCCACTCTCAGGTATATCCAACAGAAAAGATTGCTTACTACAAAGCTGTACTACTTAGAGATTTGCAGTAAGATCTCTCTTGCACTTGGTATAGCAGCTGTCACATGTGTCCCTGCTAGGCGGCTGACAAAGGCGCTGCTATGAAGGCTCTATTTGTGCTTCAGATTGGACCAAGGGAAATGTATTGAAATGTCTGCATTCTCATCCAGACATAATGTAATATAATCTGTAGAGAAATTGTGAAGTCTTATTTTAGACTTCACATGTAGTCTTTCTGGAGCTCAAGTTTCTATCTCAACAGATTGCCTCAAACTGTTGCGGTTGAGGTAGGATCTAGCCCTGCAAGTTTCTTAGTATTCGCTTGAAGCTGGGAAAAATTGTTACTGAAGCAGATATGTACGAATCATTTGAGTGATTCTGATAGTTATAAGAGAGCAGCAAGCCAGAAATGCTGTAAAATCTCCTTCTTGTCTCCATTACAGTTGGTATTGTTAAACTATAACCATATGTTCTCACATCAGTCAGCGGCAATCACTACGCAGCAAGCTGTGTATCAGATCCAGCAGTACTCATGCAGGTACAATTCCCACTGACATCAGTGGAAGATCTGCCTGAGTCAGCACTGCTGCTCTGGGTTCCCATGTAAAGATCTCCAAACATTTCCAATATAATAAAGTATCGCTTAATACAGTGTGTGTAAGCAATGTCAAGCAGATGGTTTCTGCAGCAGTTTTTCTAATTTGGCAAAACATGCTGGCAAGTGTAGTTAGGTAAATGTTGTGAGAAAGTTGAACAAAAAAATACTAGATGTATTGGATATGGAGGCTGAGAGTGATATTCAGAGGGGAAGCTAGACTTTTTGGCTCCTTGATGATAATTTTCAAAAGCTTTTTAGTTTATAAACCTTTAAAACCTTGCAGTGGCTTTTATTCTGTATACTTAAAGGAATGTAGGGTCTTTATACATTCCTGTTTATCTCACAAAAGAATGTCTGGTGATCATGAAGTGGAAATCCTTTGTTTGCTTGATTCAAAAAGACACAAAAACCCCTCCTTCCTCCTTGGGAAATGTTCTCTGTAGACATAGAGCCATGAGAAATATACAACATACATCAGCTGGAATGCTGCCCCCCCCTCCTTTTTTTTTTTTTTTTTTTTTTTTTTTTCCTTTCTTTTCTTTTTTTGATATTGCGACTGTTCCTTCAAAGAAGAACTTGGTGTATTCTGCAGGTAGTGTCTAAAATAAAAATGTTTTGAAGTCTCTGCTACAAAGCAGAGCCACCGTACTGAAGGAATAGTGAAGCAAATTTGAATGTACCGTGGTGGGGGTGGAGAACAAAGGACCAGAGCTCTAGAGAATAGCATTTCCCTAAGGGTTTCCCCTTTTTTTTTTTTTTTTTAGCCCCACTACAGAGTACAAGTAAGTTCATGGGGGGAGGAAAAAAAAAAAGTCATTCATGCTTCCACCACCACCAGGTGTTTAGTGTTGATGTTTAAAGTTTAAGCAATAGCACCTTTCCCCCAGCAAAACTCTTGTTGCACTGCCTTAACATCCCAAAGCTCTACCACTGACTGCATGTGCTTCAGAAGCCTCTGAAGGACTTTTGGCTCTGCAGTCGTGAGAAATAGCACCTTGTTCCACATACTGGCCTGTCAGAACTTAATTCATTAACTTCTAGGCAAAGAGCAGCTGCTCCGTCATTATTGCTATGACTGCAGGAGCATATGGGGGGCACCCAAACTAGCTTAAATACTAGTCAAATAGAAGCCCAGTAGCTGACAGAACAGAGCTCAGTATGGGGTAGTTTACTGTGCCAAGCAGCAGAGAGACAGCAATGTCAGCGTTATCTGAAGTGATTAATAAATGGCTGAACTTAAAAAGGGTCTACATTTCAATTTAGAGGCGTCTTTGCAAATCCTGTTTAAAGTAGGTGTCAGGATCAGATTTTTCTAGGTTCATTTGTATAGCTGTGAAAATATGTAAGTTATATGGCCTCTAATCTCTCCAGGTGACAGTAAATGTAAAAGTAGAGCTCATGTTTTTAATAACTTTAAACATATTAGAGGTACTTACAGTTGAGACAGCTGTGTTCTTGGATTTTAATATATTGTTTCTCTGACTTTTGAAAGCGGTGGCACAAAAGGTAAGTGTCTTCAGACTTCTAAGGAAAAGCAAACAAAATACAAAAATGAGCTGATGTTTCTGACAGTCCTCCTGTACAATGAATTCTACTGACAGCTCGAAATACCAGTCATAAACCATCATTATAGAGGCACTTCGTTGAGGGTCAGCAACTGTTCAGTGGTGTCTGGATCCCTTTCCTCCTTTTTTTTTTCTTTTTTAAAAGAAAAAGGTATTAAATAAGGTTATTCATATTGCAAGCTCCCCTTGAAAAATGCAGTCTTCTAATGAATAAAATGTTCATATTACACTTAAGATTTTATTAACAGAGAGACAAGTAACTGCTGCATTAATACCTGGGAAACTAATGCATGTTTTTAATGGCAAAATGTTTCAACCTTTTTTCTCTTCACTAAGGAAATCAGTTTGGCAAGTGCATTGCTTCTTGTGTAGCAAAATGTGAACAGCGCTAAGGCATAGGGCCAGAATTTCAATATACACATTTGGAAGTGACTTCTCAAGTACAGTAAAAGTGTCTGTGGCATTATTTTGGGGACTGGAGTTTTATTTGTAGATAAATTTTAACTGCATATCATTCTCGGGAATTAGTAGGCTATGGATCCTCCTGAGCTAAGTATTCTGTGAGGGCTTGTCTAGAGATGGAATAAACCAAAACCAAACTCCCCCACAAATTAAGCTACCTGGTTAAACATAGCCTGGCATCAGCTGCTGCTGCTATTAAAATGTTTCCCAAGTCCTACCATTTAATTGCATAAATAAACCCCCATTGGAAAAAGCCCTGTAAAAAAAGGAAAGGATGCTTTGAGTATAAATTGGCCTCGAGAAGATCTAAGTTGAAATCCAGGTTCTGCCAGAAACTCATAACACCTTGATGAATTGCCGATTTAAATTTTTTTTTCCCTTTAACCATTTCCTTGTGCACATCCAAAACAGTAGTTATTTTTCTTCCATCTTTTTTAATAGCTAGTGTGTATGGGTTCCAATTCTTTGTAGGACTGTTGTTTTGAATCTAATACTCTACTTCTGCAGTGCTGCTGTAATGCAGATAACCTCTCCAGTTGCGTGGTCGCTGGTACCAAATAGCTACAACCTTGTTGGT